TTAAGAATATGTCTAACATACAACTACAAGGAACTGACCAAGATAGGCGGGCCAGAAAAATTTCATACATATTTAGAGATTTTTAGATTTTTATTTTAAAAAAAATTAAATATGGTCGCCTTTTTGAAAGATTTATTTGTTTTCTTTTATCTGTAGAACAGTATAAAAATTGTATGCATTTCCAAAATGGGTACAAAATATTGTTTTCCTGCCTGGCTTGACAATATTAGTCGCATCGGATTTATTAAAAACAATTTTTACGAAGAATCTTGTTACATCGTTTATCTAGAAAAAATAAAACAAATTTTATTTCTATATTATTTAGTCAAAACGCAAAAAACAAAACCATCTGTCAGATATGCCATTTGACAAAAATATTTTTATTTTCATTTATATTCGTCCTATTTAATGGTGGACTTTCTTAACCGTTTTATTTGTCGATACACAGAATAGGCAGACATAAGTGATTCGAAACGATAAAATAAGTCAACAATGTTTGTAGTGATTTCCAAAGTTTTTTAGAAATCACTAGCGTTTGTCATGTGTCACCTTTGATACTTAATTAATTGCGTTTATAAGGCAAGCAACCAGAAAAATTTAACGTTTGGTTTAGTAATTTCCGATTATTTTGATCCCATCTTCGCTTTTTTGGACTATGAAAGGCATTTTAGCTATCTCATTACTGAAAATGGCTAGGCGTTGTTCACAGACCAAAAATGCAAACATAGACAGACAAAATTGAACGTAAACTAGACTTAAGATAGATAAAAAGAAGGCGCATTATTTTTTTAAAACAAACTTTCAAAATTATGAAAGATTTAAAAAAAAAGTGAAACTTTTCCGTTATTTGTCAATTTCGAATCTCGGTTTCAGCGAAGAATCTAAATTGAACTTCGCAATTTCAACATTTAATATATTAACGTGTGAAAGAATTCACGTTCTTTGTATTGGCTTGTTCTTTGGCTTAGTTCTTAGGCTTTAAGACAAAAAATAAACGCGTTCAGAATGAGCAGGCGTTCGAAAGGTGTCAAGGGAAAATGTAGGGCGGAGGTGATGTTACCTTTGATTCCTCGGTCCTTGATTAAAGGGGACCGACCGACAAGCCGTGAATATTCATGAGACTGCTGGGGTGGTTGAAATGCGGCCGTGCGTTACCGGCCAACTGACCCCGGTCAACATTCCACGTCCCGGTGTCCGGCTGTCACCCTTTTCTCGTCTGGACAGTGCTTAAAGTGGACGAAAAGGGGCACTTTGAAGAGATAAAGTGTGACCTTTAAGACCTATTGTGGGGGGGGGTGTCTATTACTTCGATTTATATCGATAGAACATATGCGTATCCGGTTTCGTAAATTATATAAAAGCTTTTTTTTTTAAATAAATGTCTGCCTAGTTAATACACAATGAGGTTTAACTGAAGTTCCTACGACAAAAAAATGTTATGGGTTTCATTATCCTTGAGGATTTCTATTAAAGACACATAGAAAGGCATACCAGATCTAATCGTGAAAATTAAGAAAGAGGAAATTAAGATAAGAATTACAACAGCTGAGCAGGTCAATAGATCAGTGTTTCGTTCGTCATTTAGTTGAAAAAGCATCGAATATAGTAGCTTCTGTTTGCCGTGAAAAAGCTGAATTTATTTGTTGGACCTCGCTGCGCTAATTTAAATTATTGTAAAGACATTATTTAAATTATTTAAATCTTTGTAAAGACTCGCTTTTTCAAAATTTTGCATATTTCATTACAGAATTCATACAAACATTGTTTACACACACACATATATATATATGTACACATTCAATCAAAGTATTTCTACTTACTCAAAGTGTTTGTCTTCTGTGTAATTGTGCCATTCTTGCTTATCGTGTCGAGAGTTTTCTATACCGACATCCTTCCCCACCCTTCAAAATCCAACGTATATAAACACAAAATAGCAAAATCTCACTGGCACTCTCAACACGACACCCGAGAATGGCACAATTACACAGAAGACAAACACATTGAGTTAATAGAAATACTTTGATTGAATATAAAAAATATATTTTGCATTGTATAAATTCACTTTTTTCCATACCCTACGTGTATTTGTTATATGTAAACAATGTTTGTAAATCTCAGGCCCTGAAAATAATCTCAATAAAGATCGAAACGTTGACACGATAAAGAAAATGTTTTTCTGAGACCTACATCACACCAGACCGCACCTCACGATTTTTAAATAAATAAACAATACTATGCAATTTACAATTCACATCTTTTTGTATCATAATTTTAATGTGAAATGAAATTTATGAGCCCAAGCCCTATAATTGACGAAACAAACCTTCGATTTATATTTGCGCATCCGGTTTTGTAAATTATAGAAAAGCTTTTTTTAAATAAATATCTGCCTAGTTAAAACACCGTTAGGTTTAACTGAAGTTCCTACGCCAAAAAATATTATGGGTTTATTTAATCGCCCAAAACTTGATCATCGAGATCAATGCAAGTAATGATTTTCCTACTGGAGCAAATATCGCAATATTCCACATGAAATATTATTGATTAGTATTTTACTATTGCGGACTAATAAACTATCAGGCGAAGAAAAATAAATAGAATGAAATACATTCCGAGAGTCGTATTACTTGCTTTCTAAAGTTATTGGGTTGTCCGGAAAATAATGCAGGATTTTGGTATTAAACAAAAAAAAAGAAACTAGTTACTTTAAAGCAATGTTCTTTAATCAAAATAATTTCCCATACNCAAACAATATCATTTGGAAGAGGATTAATAAGTGTTGACATTCATACAAATGAGTAATCCTGTAAACGTAAACAGAATATTTTATATAGATTTTTTTAAATGAAAACTTAAAATCCTGCATTATTTTCCGGACAACCCAATATAATTTCTATGAGAAAAATTGCATTTTATCTTCTTTTTATTTATTACCTTTCTTTTATTTCATTTACTATTTTTTACTTTAGCTTTAGCTTATTAATTAATGTCCGGCAAATATTTTTAAATGATGCCCAGGTTAAAGTGCGAAAAGTCAACTATTATGCGACGGAGTATGATTTGGATCTGCCAGATGCCCTTTTAAAATGTACTTTGGACTTGTGGAATCTCAGGTGTCGAGTGTCAAAAAACATACCCTTTAGCGTCCACCAACGACTACTTTTTTGTTAAAAGATCGATTCTTACTGATGCGCTCTTATACGTTTTATCGCAGCCTCCTTATATTGGTGAGTTAAAGGAGTTTATTTTAAAAATCGAAGACCATAACAAGTTCCAGATCAAATAATTTATTATGTCTCATATTCGTTACTCTAGACGCGGAACATGGTTTTCGCGGTTTAAAAAAAATTGCTTACTGTCTTTTATCTGTTATTCTGTACAGATTTTCCTACTACTTTTTTAGCTTTATTCAGCGAGCATTTTAATATAGATTATGTATGTTTCGGGGGAGGGACGGAGCAGAAGGGATTTGAAAAATTCTAAGTGGGGCATGGCACAAAAAAAGGTCGGGAAACACTGCAATGGATGCACCGACAAAGAAATTTTTTCTAAAGTAATGAAAACGACCCCTGTTTTTGTCTACCTAGCTTCACTAGGTCTTTTAGACGATTTATGGTAATCACCATCTGTAGCGTTGTGTTTAGTTGGTTTTTGTGTTGTCAATTTTTTTTATTAATAAATATTTGGCAAAATGATTGCTCAAAATTTTTGAAAATACTCTAGGAGTGGTATTTATTTTATCGATTGTTTACTCTATAAGAATTGAATATTTCGTATAGAAATATGGTAATAGTATAGAACAATTGGTAAAAATAGGTAAGGCGCTAGATGCCAACACTTTCGCAACACTCGGATGTCGTGCGGGTTTAGCGTTTGAAGTCATTGCCAACACCTCTTAAATTTTTGAAATCAAACTCTAAATCAATAACCATATAATAATAATTAGAGGAAACTGGTATGGTATAATTATTTCATATATTAAGATTAACTTGATTTTTCTATGACTATTATTTTACAGTTTATGTAATCTACTATATATGCAATTAGTAATTTTTAAATCGAATTGTTTGTCAGTTTAATCAGAATAATATTTTTTTTAAATAATAAGCTTTCTGAAGTTTTTTATTGAGTTTTATATATATATACACAATATTTTTCTAGGAAAGAGTAAGGTGATTTTAAAAATCCTAAAATAAATTACTTGTATCCTTGTTGTATCCTTGTTGTATTGTTGAATTTACCTAATAAGAATTCCATTAAATGTAAATTTACAGTTTAGAGTTATAGGAACTTAATGTTTTTTAAATTAATATTTAATATATTAAGCCTTTTAAAATGGGCAGTTGATTAATAAAGGTTATGCGTTATAATAATTGCCCCTAGGCGTTTTTCTGTAACATTATTTACACGTTTTCAACTATAGCTTAAGATTCAGAAAGCGCGTATTTCAACCCTGGCCCTTGAAATCCTTTTGACACCGTGTTAAAAAAATTCAGAAAGGGCAAATTAATTTTTCAAGGTGCGAGTAGAAGCCGGTGTAATCGCATTACGGAATTTTAGAAGAGCTTATTACGCCTCGGCGACGGCGTTTTTGATCCGCACCTCTTGTCGGGCTGAAAATATTTATAGAAATTTGAATATTAATACCGTTTTAAAGCCAGTCGTAACCGGGAGTAAAATATTGGGTTTTGGGTCAGCGTAAGGGGTTGTTGTTAAGTCAGAAAAGGTGGAGGCCCTTGTTGTTCAGAGAGGCCACTGAATAATATAACAGTCCGTTACAGCAACAGATGCTACTTTGTATAAGAAAACTGCACAGATTCCGGGCCATGGTTCTAAATATGCATGCGAGCCAAGTGGGTGCTCCTCACATCAAAATTTCATAAGGCCACTTCTTCCCCCTCGCCGCCGATCCGCCTCGCGCCTTAACTTATAATTATGAACGCGCTGAAAATTTTTGGATCCGAACTGCTTTTATTTATCTTCTTGTCTTTTTGTTTTAGATGGGGAGCCGATCAAGTTACCAGAAAATTTGGAAAGCCTTCCGAAGGCCGAACATTTCCCAACGCAGAGACATCGTTGGAACACAAACGAGGTAAGTTCGTTCTCTTCAGCATTCTTCGTGAAATATAAAGTAAAATTTGATTTCTGTTACTTGACAATGAGTATTTTTAGTCACTTCAATGTCTTCAATTTAAATTATTTATGCGCTTTAGAAGATATAAATTATTAGTTAAAAAGCAAGTACTTGATTATTAAGTTTACTCTTTGAAAATTTACTTGGAGTTGTTGGATTGGTCTGTAAAGGTTCTGCTACAATTGTTGGATTTTGAATGTGTTGTTGCAGGAGATTAAGATTGTGCTGGTAGAGTTGTCGGAAGGAGTCTTGTAGGTTCTTAAGAGAGTGTTGGTAGATTTCATGGGATAAATTGTCGTAAGTATCTTAGCCTGGCTATGGATTTTAGAAAAATGGTTGTTGCACGTGCTTCTGGAGTGTGTGGGTAGAGTTGTTAAGAAGTCCCGTTAAGGCGGTGCTTGATATAGGTGGTGTTTGGTGAGCTTCTTGTATGAAAAGTTGTTGGTTTCTGAGATGATACTGGGATATTGGAAGGACTATTGATGTAGTTGCGTCAGACTGTGCGTATACAGTTAATGAAGAAGTCTTGTGGTAGGTACTTAATTCTTCTTCTTGGAAGAAATGTTATTGTAAGTATCGGATATGGTGCTGTAGAGTTGTTGGAATATTGTTTTTGTAGACGCTTTATATAGAACTGCAGTATTGTTGGAAAATATTTTTGTAGGTGCTTAAGATAGTGGTTGTAGTGTTGTCAGAAACTGTAGATGCTTAATAAAGCGCCAACGCTATATTACTAAGTGTTACTCTAAATACCAGTAGAGGTTTTTGAAGGACTGATTACGTATCTGAGATAGTGCTGGAAGAGTCATCGGATGGAATCTTGTTGTAGATGCTTAAGATAATTTTGGTAGGGTTCTTGGGAGGAGTGCTATTTTAGGTTCTTAAGATAGTGGAGGTAATATTTTTGGACTATAAGCATCCAAGACCGTACTGATAGAATTGTTAGGAGTGTTCGAGTACATTCCTAAGACAGCTCTGGTAGAGTTGTTGGAAGGACTTAACATAATGTTGGTGGTCTTAGAAGGACCGGAGGTCTTGTTACAGGTGACAGCAATGCGTGGTTGTCACGCTAGCGGCTCAAGGTTCGAATTCTGGCATAGCCCTAGGAATTCTATTTCAGAATAATATTTGATAAACGTATCATAAAATGGTTCTCAACCACCATCTGCGACACTTAACGAGATGTTGTACGTTAAGCTCTTCTGTACGACAGGAATTAATTTAATTACTTTACGTTTTTAGTGCTGGTGGACTTCATGAACGGTTGTAGGTGAGATGTTATTAGAATGTGTATAGATGAGTTGATGCGGTACTGTAACCGACTTAGAATTTTCACGGACAACAGGCTGACGTACGACTGTTCTCCAGGTTACTTAACTTACGATCTAAATTAACCTTAAGTAACTAACTGGTGATGTACAACGCAATTATTAAAACCTGACTGAACTTACGAATTGAAGCTTTGAAGTCCGATCAAATGGAACAATATTGAAACAATTGAAACCTTACAAAGATTTGTGTGGTGATTAGTGACCGTTAATCGATATTTATTTAGAACTCGTGAGATGCGGTCTGGGGTGATGTAGGTTTCAGAAAAACATTTTCTTTATCGCGCCAACGTTTCGATCTTTATTGAGATCATCTTCAGGGCCGGGGATTTACAAATATTGTTTACATTTAACAAATACACGTAGGATGTGGAAAAAAGTGAATTTATACGATGCAAAATATATTTTTTATATTCAATCAAAGTATTTTTACTAACTCAAAGGGTTTGTCTTCTGTGTAATTGTGCCATTCTTCGGTGTCGTGTTGAGAGTGCCAGTGAGATATTGCTGGTTTACGTTTATATATTTTGGATTTTGAAGGGGTGGTCGAAGGATGTCCGTATAGAAAAAAAGACATTTTTGTTTAAGGCGTCGGCTTCTTTGAGGTGAAAAGACACATTTTTTGTGTTGGTAATGGTTCGGCCAGATTATCCATTCAGGATTATTTAGAAAGGGAAAAAATAGGAAAACGAAAGCTAAATTGTTCGGAAATTATACTAAGTGAAAAATATATTTGATGTGTGGAATGTAATGTGATGATATAGGTATTTTATCTGTATTGAATGTGATTAATGATATTGGCGTAGCTGCGACTGAGTTTACATGTATTTTTTCTGTAATTGATGCTGTGTTTATCTCGGTTGATATAAATCATTTCTAAGAAATTACGTTTATGTTTGTTTTGTTCTGTGTGAATACTTTTGGATTGTTGAAGTCGAAATTGTGTTGGTGTTCAAAGTGGTGGGTAGCGAGTGCTGTAGGATTTTGCTTAGGTTTTTTGCAATCATAGATATGTTGCTTTACTCTCTTGTCCAGATATTGGGATGTAAGACCTATGTAAGTTGCCGGACTGTTTAAACAGTTGATCTTGTAGATTACGTCAGATTTATTTGTTATTGGTGTGGGATCTTTAATTTTGGAAAAAAGTGTTTTAATTGTTTTATAATTTTTGAAAGCTATTTTGAAGTTATCGGACAAGAGAAATGTGTTTAATTTATGTGATAGGCCTTGGATAAATGGCATGGAAATGTATGCCGGTTTGTTTGTATTCGATAGACTTAATGTAATATTATTAGTAATAGTGGATGGTGTTAGTGTTGAGTTGTAATTGTTGATTATTCTGTTAATTATGTGTTTAGGGTAGAGATTGATGATTCATAGCTCAGGGTAATCATTCCCTTTGGCCGTGTTTATTATTGTATGAAGGGGATGGCGAGATGTAAAGTTGATGTAGCGATCTGTGTTTCTTGGTTTTTGATACCAATCTGTAATTAATGTGCCATCTGGTTGTTTTATTACAAGTGTATATAAAAATGGCATTTTTTTTTGTTGTCTTCCATTTCATGTGTAAATTGTAGGCGTGTGTGAAGGCTATTAAATGTATCTAATGTAGGTTGAATTTGATCTGTGGGAACATCTGTCAATATATCATCTACGTATTTTGTGAGGAAGGGTAATGTGAAAGGAAGTTGTGGTATGACTGTATTTAATATATATGTCATGATTATGTCTGCCAGTATCGGGCCTCGGTTGCTACCTACCCATGTCTATACCAAATAAATTTTCCAAACAATTTAGCTTTCATTTTCCTATTTATTCCTTTTCTATATAATCCTGAATGGATAATCTGGCCGAACCATTACCTACACATTTTTTCCCTTCGTCGGCTCTTTTCACCTCAAAAAAGCCGACGCCTTATACACAAATTTCTTTTATATATCGACATCCTTCCCCACCCCTTCAAAATCCAACGTATATAAACACAAAATAGCAAAATCTCACTGGCACTCTCAACACGACACCGAAGAATGGCACAATTACACAGAAGACAAACACTTTGAGTGAGTAGAAATACTTTGATTGAATATAAAACATATATTTTGCATTGTATAAATTCACTTTTACACATTTAAAATGTAATTGTTATATGTAAACAATGTTTGTAAATCCCAGACCCTGAAGATGATCTCAATAAAGATCGAAACGTTGGCACGATAAAGAAAATGTTTTTGTGAAACCGACATAACACCAGACCGCATCTCACGATTTCTAAATTAATAAACTTACAAAGATTCTTCAAAAAATGTCGATGTCTTCTTATCTATCCTCACTGATCTCAATCCATTTGCCTAAGACCTGGGTAAAAACTTGTATTTCTTATTCTGATCTATGATCATCTTGTCTTTATACTAGGGCATCGAACACTCACTGAAAATCCCGTTGGAAGAAGAAACAGAACACGAGATTTTGACGTGTATTAATATTGGATTGTTTTCATCAAGCTATGTTGGTTATGTTAAGTAACAAGTGGATTTTTCCTGGCTTGCATCCCTAGGCGAAAAGTGCACTCTCTGAAAATCGATAGTCGACAAAGCCTCCCTAACGTCGTTGTCACGTTAAGCACAATGAGTGTTATTGTGCTTAAAATAAAGGAATAAAAAGGTGCGCAGGCCCAATTAACTTTATCAAAGCCTCTGTTTTATCGTATGAAGGTTTTGCACAGCGAGCCAGGCGACGCCCTGCTTTAATTAAAGATATTTCTAAAGGGCAATAACTGAAACGAATTAAAACCGAGGCGTTCGACGGCACGCGTGCTTTGACAAAAATGGATAAAACACGCCCTCGATAACAATCGGCGAGACAATAACATATCAAAATGCGGGAGAATCGGCATGATAAAAATAATTGACAATCTGACATTCCAGAGTTGTATTAGGAAGAGTGTCACATGTCTCTTCATATGTTTATTTTAATACCTCCACATTCGCACAATGCATAAAACATATATTACAAAAAGAAACAACACCCAGCACGCGAAACATACTGGAATGCATATTGACAAAGTTGCACGTTTTCCTGTCGAAGTATGCGGATTTATGAACTTGTACATTGCTTGTTTCCACTCTTGCTTAACCTGGTATAGTGTTATTTAATTCATCAGACTTTTATTTCTATCAAAATCGACTTCTCAGACATCTTTTCATTGCTTTGAAAGTCTGTGGGATAATGATTTGTAATTTGACCGAATCCGATCATTCTGATGTCTGACGGATTTAGACAATCTTCCTTGGTCGTGTTTTAAAAAACCTTTGATCGTTCGTTTTGTTTTTGTCTAACAAGCAGTAAGAAGAGAAGATTAGAGTGATCATAAACTGCCAAATCAGAAGGAGCAAGTAATTGATGTCATTAAGCTCATTAAAGTGACGCAAAAGATTTAGTGTTAGAATCTTTTAACTGTGTTTGGATAGACTATTCAAATTACTTAAACATTTTAAAAATATTAAAAAAATATCCTGTTCAGAAGCAGAAGTATTGGTATGATGATATTTTCTGTAGGGTTTCTATTTTTCTCTCATAAATGTAATAAATCAATTAGGATTTTATATAAATTGTTTATGTTATTTGATCTAT